AAAAAAAAAAAAAAAAACGAAAAAAAAAAAAAAAATTGAGGTTGTTTTCAGGGATGGTGGGTGTGACAGGCCGTGGTCACGTCAGTGCTGGGGCCATGTCCCACTACCGGTAGCAGCGTTGAGCTACCTCAACGCTGAGCATTCAATCACATGTGACAGACCGCGAACTCGAAGATGCTAGATTTCCCTGCGAATCCAGAGGTGGATTCAAGGAAAGAAAATTGAAGTTCCTTTTCTTGTTTTTTATTTTTATTTTTATATTGGAAACCAGAGTAAAATGCCTTTTTCTCAAATCGAACGCCCCCTACCCGAGCGCCCTTCCGTTGAGCTAGCTCTTATTTTTTTCTCTTTGTAGCCAGCTCAACGACGATTGATTTCTCACCGAACAACAACCTACCCGAGCGCCATTCTATTGACACTGACATAATGAGCCTGGCTTCTTATGTATCATAGTACCGTACCGTCCGAAGCCCGATTCTGCAAACGGAGCAATGAGGCGGGTGTCCAGCCAACAGGTAGTACTTTCACACGAGTCGTTGAATTTGGCCTTGTTTAGGGGATAGGTGCGTTCAAGAGGAAGTTATTTTCCTCACGCTGTCCTGTTTTCCTGATTGTGACCCTCGTGCGACATCATGTGTGCGTGAATTCGGGCACCCGGCGTGAGGAGAAAAGCGAAAAAAATGAAATAGAAAAAAAATGATAAAAAAAAAAACGTCTGGAAATTTAAAAATAGCTTTCTTCATTTCTAACGAATTAAAAAATGCTTGAAAAGCTGTCAATCTGTTGAGCTAGCTCAACTCAACGGTGCCAGTGGGACTTGGACCCTGGAGAGAGTGTATCTCACCTGTAAACCGGTCAGATTGTGTTAGGATTTATTTATTTACTAGGCTACCAGAGTGGCCCGGGGTCACTTGCCCGGCCGGGCCAAAAAATTAAAAATATATATATATTTGACGATATATATATATTTCAGCCTCCTGATGAGTCGGTGAAACTCCGACGAAACAGTTTGTCACAGCCCCTCGTTTGTTGTCCTCTT